CCAATCTCACTGGATCCCCAAACGCTCAAACACATATTTGCCAAACTATTACTGTTACCATTAGTTATTTCTGCTCAAAAGCTACTAAGGCTTTAAATTTCACTCCAGCCTGCTGAATGTGCTTTACTAGGAGACAGAATTTCAAAATGCCTAGGAAAATACTCTGTGCTTAGTAAACATCATAGAAGTCTAATATTTTGTTATGTTCCAAAGTCTGTTAATACTGGCATTAGTTTGCTTTCTGTTTTAGTCCCAACTCTGCCTCTATCTGAGCACACTCTGTTGCTCTGTGCCAACTAAAAATGAATTTTCTAAGATGTTCCTCTTCAAAGGCTTTAAGTATGTCTATACTTCATATCTTCAGAGATATGAAGACTGTCAAGCTATCACAGTGTATCAGGGATATAGAGGATGACACCTTCAAAATATCTCAACTGTTCTCTTGTGATACATTCCACTGATTAATCAGGAGGCAGACTGTATTCGCTGCCACAGGAACCATAATTTTCTTTTTTTAAGCTTTGTGTAGGTATTTTATCTGTTGTAACTTGATGGTTATTCTGTGGTTTGTGGCTACCCTGCCTAGTTGCAAATGTTCTTGATTGAGTTGAATTGTAGATGTGGCTAAACATATTGCTTCCTCTTTCCTTGAGTAATATTTTCCAATGCTCCACTACAGTCTTGGTATTGCTGCATAGCTCAGTACTCCGTATTCAGAGACAAGAAGGAATCTTCTTTATAGAGCAGCATTTTGAGATTCCTCAGGAATGACTTATGACTGGAGCTTTTCACTCTTGTCCTAAAAGAAAATAAGACTTTCAGGAAACTGTTTGATAAAACTGTCTTTGTTTAATTCTGAGATATTAAGCATGACAAAAAGTATTTTTTATGATAGAAATATTTCTTGCATTTTTGCACTTCAGACAAAAATCAAGTTCTTAAAAAAAATTTGCATTTATCAAAGCTCCAAATCATTCTTTCTGTCATCAGGGTAATTTTCCCTATCCCTGTGTAGTTGCACGGAACATGAAAGAGTAAGGTTTCTGTAAACAAACAAGTTGACAAATTGCTTTGTAAACCACTAAAAGAGCTGCAAGCACCACCACTCCGAAATCATCCAAGCCTGCAAGACAGGACTATTCCAATTGCCTCTCTTGTTGCAAAATATTTTCTATCTACCACAGAGACTACTGATAACTTTAATGCAATTTAGTAAAATTCCTATTAAAGTAAAAATTAGTTAAATGGCATGTTTAAATTAGAAACCTAGGTTTTTGCATCATCTGAGCTTTCAAAGAGGGATTCTTGAGTATTATCAACATTATATTAACTCCACTAAGTTAATTTTGCCTTTCACTTGAACAGACAAACTAAACATTGTCAGTGTACTTGTTTGAGTAGAAGGAAGAAGATAAACTTTTATGAATCATTCCTTTCAAGGAAAGATTGATTTATATTTAAGCTACTGTGTCCTCTCAGCAGTAAAAAAGAGATTACATGTTCATTTTATCACACATTTGTAAAGCTTATCACACAGTAATAACTCCATGTATCCTACAACTGCAATAATATTTGGTTGCAGAAAATTCTTCAGTTTAGAGCCAGCATAAATATTCAAGCTACACAGTTTTCCTCCATAAAATGGATAGGCTATCACATGCACTGCAGCTATACTGGTTCTGCTGCACAATGCAATTTCTTGTCCTTTGAAATTACCCCAAATCTGTTCTATTAAATTTGCTAAGGGTAGGCACTTCCAGAAGTGCAGATACAACTATTACTAGACAGTAGGCTTTTGGGTGGATGTTTCATTGCTACTAAGATGTCACAAAGCCAACAGTGCTTCTAGGCAGCCAGCTTCTTGTTTCATTTCATCCAAACAGAAACTCAGAAACACTACTAAAACTTTTGCCAGAAAAAAAAAAAGACTCCAACTAACAACAAACAGACATTGCTATTTGGCTTGCCCACATTAAAATTTTAATCATACTATCAAACAGAAAACTACTGAAAATGCTTGTCCAGCATAGCTGTTTAGAGCACAATACTTAACAGGAATTTCAGGACACCTAAACCTACTCCTGATGCTATGGTACTTTGAAGCATGCTATTAAATATTTCACCACTTTCATCTCAACTCCCATAAGGAATTGCGTAGCTGGTTAGCTGAGAATTCTATAGTCTTGTGTTTGGACAGAAATCATCTTGCCACAGCAGTTGTTTGGAATTGATCAAACTTTAAACTAGATTTCCCAGATGAGATCTGCTTTCTCAAGAATGTTTTGTACTAAAGCTAGTTTATCCAAAGTGTTTCAAGTATTCAGATCCAGTCAGGTATAAATTTAGTTCAGACTGCACTACACTGCAGGAGTCACAGACTAGGTGCTGGAATGGTTGTACAAACACTTACAGGACTATTTCTGTTCTTGTTCACAACATTAGCATGCAGAAGACAATTTAGGTAGCATCAAGTGAGATCACTTTGCAGTGGTTAAGGTTATTCAAGCCACAGAGCACCCAACCTTTTACACCCAGCAATTACCAATCCACCTTACACACATGCAAGTAAGTGTGTATGTGCAGTTCCATAGTATTTCATCCCATTGCCAGTCCGGTTCTGCTTTTATTATGTATGGATCTGCCCAGGTAGGCTACCTTTTCTGCCATATTTGGATTCTGTAGTTTCATTGTTCTCCCAGCACTGGCCTGCACTGAGATTATATCAGAGAACCAGCAGATACAAGCTCAGGGAGATCATACTGGAGGGCAGAAAAACTTCCAGTTAACTCCTGGAAGTTTGCAAACCTACTCTTTGCTGACTTACTAATTCAAGATCTTATTAAATATCATTGCTTGGAGATTGCCCAAGGATAGCAATGACTCAAAGTACTCCCTGTCTTAAAAGTTCTGGTGCTTGACCCACTTCTTACAAAGAAATAGGACATCAATTGAATTCCTAACCTTACATTTCAGCTCACTGGTGACAGGAGTCTCGTGGCTCTCAAAAAGCTTTGGATCTATAAACATAATAATCCAGCTTGTCAGCTAAGTAACTGGTACTTCCAACAGCCCTGTTGGTAAGGTAACCAGGCCTCTCATGCACGTAGTTTCCGTGATAGCAGCAGGATCCTCATGTGCTGAAGTGTCATGTCCTCGGCAGCAGCATGGCAGCAGTTCCCTTCTCTCTAGACAGCTTGGTTTTTTTTTCAGAGACACTCCCAAGTAGTTCTTTCAGTTGCTGCAAACTTGTCACCTTTTTAAAGCAGGTGAATCAACAAATCAGGTGGATTGACTGCTACCTAACTCACTTCTGCTTAGTGCTGAAGGGAATACCCCACCAAAAACTCTGTTCAGACGCAATTTAGGTATTTTAGAATGCAATCTTAATTTTTTTGCTGGTTTATTCAGTAGAAATCAGTGACGTATTTCCTTTAACTCATTCAAGAACAATTCACCAACATCTGAAAAGACTACCCTTTGTATTTTATGAATTACAAGTTATGGATGCCCCCCATACAGAAGTTACTATGAAGGCTACTCAGTGCTTATTGATGCTGTAATTTTAAGAAATTGCTATTTCCTTCCACATTTTTCTGTAAGGGTACAATTTTAGCAAAGTATAACAGCTACAGAGAGCTGATGGTATGACTTTGCTGCTGCCTGAAAACAGGCCTATCAGAAACTTGATTGTAGATGAATCTTTTTCAGACTAGTTTTCACACAGCTCCCAAATGGTACATTTACCTAATCCCTCCTTTAAATCATACTGGCTTGCCCCTCCGCTGTCTAATGACAGCCAGAATAATACCACTTTGAAGACCTCAGCCTCTACAGTAATATACTTGAAATACTAGGACTCTCATCCTTTGCCTGATAAGAAATTTTGGATCCATGTTAAATTTTCTTAAGCCTGGAGATATAAGGAGAGATATACATTGCTGCGTCTCCATTGTTTTTTCTTTCTTGCATTACAAAAAAAAAAAAATTGGGCTGCTGCTTACATTTACCTCCAAAAAGTTTGTTTAGCAGAATCACAGAATCACAGAATAGCTAGGGTCAGAAGGGATGTCTGGAGACCATCTAGTCCAACCTCTCTGCCAAGGCAGGGTCACCTAAAGCAGGTTACTTGGGAAGGTATCCAGGTGCGGTTTGAATGTCTCCAGATGGGGAGACTCCACGACCTCCCTGAATACCTAGCAGAAAGATACTATATTTCCTCCACCGATGTATTATTCTTCACATGCTTGCTTGGCCACTCCTACATGTGGTATAATCAAATCATTTTCACAACATTTCACAGGTGCTTTGATCTGATGCCAACATATACAGTAATAGGAAAGAATGCTGCACTCCAAGATGTACAGTATGTATCACCTTTAAGAACAGAGATATGGTCTGTCTTCTGGATGCTGAGTCATAATTTCCTCCCTTTTTTCTAACAGCTATGACTTTGGGTATATTCTCCTGTACATGTGATACTGCTTTGTTAATGTCCAGAGAATGCTGGAACTGCCAGAGGCCCTCCCCAGACACTTCATCCTTGAAGGATGGTATGCTTTAGAAGAAGGCTGTGACTCACTCTTGCTTTTCTGGCAAATGCAAATGAAAATTTTTTATTTCCCCAGTGCTTCCTCTGATTTAGAGCAGAACAACAATATCACTGATGGGCTGTATTGGGTCTGGCTGAGATGAAGTTCATTTCCTCATAGCAGCCCTCACAGTGCTGTGCTATGCACTGGTGGCTAGAAAGGTGTTGATAACACAGTAGTGTTTCGCTTACTGCTGGGCAGTGCTGGCACAGCATCAGTGCTGTCTCCCCAATATTCTGCCCCTGCCCCAACAGGCTAGGAATGGGTAAGGTTCTGGGAGGGGACACAACTAAGGCAGCTAACCCAAACTGACGAAAGGAGTATTCCAGATCATATGACATCAGCTCAGATATAAAAGCCAAGGAAAGGAGGAGGAGGAAGGGGGGGGCATTTGTTATTTACAATATTTACCTTACAGTGCAACTGGTATGTGTGCTGAAGCCCTGCTTCCCAGGAAGTGTCCAGACATCACTTGCTGATGTGAAGTAGAGAATAAAACCTTTGTCTTCTGAGAATGCAAACTTTTGCTTTTGCTTTAGTAGACAGCCTTATCACAGCCTATGAGTTGTCTTCCATCTGATTTTCTCTCCCCTGTCCAGCTGAAAAGGGGGAGTGACAAAGTGGCCTGGTAGGCACCTGGCATCCAGCCAAGGTCAAACAACCCCACGGGCCAAAGCATATTGTCTACTGGTCTTATTTTCGGTGTAAGTACTTTGGGACTGTTATAGTAAGAAGTACTTTCTTCATTTGTACATGGGAAGAAATGGGATATCCCAAAGGGGACTAGGAAACAGGCCCTTAAACTCAGAATTACTGGTGACTGATCATTCCTTTGAGACAAGGTTACGAGAGTTGCCTGTCCTGCCACACTGAAACCTGTGTGCTTTGTAATAAACTTGGAAACTTCGGAATGCACGGCAGTCCAAAGAAGGACTGGCCAACGTGAGCACAAAAGGCCACGTCTCAGTGCAGTTTACTTCAGCTATGAAGTACGCAATTGCCCGAGACTGCTGGGAGCTTGCCCTTGTCGCCAGGTCTCGTAACAGAAGCTGCGCACTTTCGCAGGCTAACCAGAACTGCAAACTCCTGCTGCACGAAGTTCGCCGTCCGGCGCTCCTGATAACAAGTCTTTTAAGTATTCTCCTTAAATCTCTAGCCAGAATAAAGCCATACAACAGCAACTAAAACCACGCTCGCCCCTCCGGCCCCTCCCGGCGCGCGTCGCCCGACGCCCGCACGCTTGCGCTGGCGTCCTCAGGGAAGGGGCGGGGCGTCCTCCTGCTCCGCCCACCGCGGGAGCGAGAGCGTGGCGGTTCCGCTGAGGAGGGGAGGGGCCGCGGCGCGAGGCTCCGCCCGCCTCGCTCCGCCAATGGGGACAGGCGGCGGCGGGGGTGGGGCCGGCGCGGGTCGCGCGGGGGGCGGGGCCGGCGCGGAGTTGCCGCAGCGCCGCCGTCGCTTGTAAACAGATCCAGCCCCACGTGACGCGCGCCCGGTACCTGCGCGGGGGCGTCGGGCATTGTCCGCGCTGGTACCGGCGGGACCGCGCGGGCAGCGGCAGGAGGCGAGTCCGCTCCGCCCTTCCTCCCCCGCCGCTCCGGTGGGGAACCAGCGCACCCCCCCCCCCCTCCGGCCGCTAAGATGGCTGGTAGTGGGCGGTGAGGCGGCGCGGGGCTGCGGGGCGGCTGACGGGACGGTAGCGCGGAGGGCGGGAGGCGTGTTCCCGTGTGCGGAGCCGCGCGGCGCCATGTCCGCCTTCGCCTTGGAGGAGACGCTGGAGGCCGACTGGGTGGCCGTCAGGCCGCACGCCTTCCAGGAGCGGGAGAAGCACAAGTTCGCCTTCATCGTGGCCTGGAACGAGATCGAGGGCAAGTTCGCCATCACCTGCCACAACCGCACGGCGCAGCGCCAGCGCAGCGGCTCCCGCGAGCTTCGCCGCGGCGGACCCGAGACCGCGGCCGCTCCCAAGGCCGGCGGCCCCGCGGCGCGCAGGGACGCGGGGCCGCCCCGGGGCTGCGCCCACGCCCGGGCCGAGGCGCTGCCCCAGAGTCCGCTACGCGCCAAGTGCAGCCCGGCGCGGAGGCCGCAGCGCGGCCCAGAGGCGGCAGGTGCCCCCGAGGAGATCGAGGTGCTGGAGCTGGGGAAGGAGGACGCGGCCGCCGCGCTGTCGCTGCCACCCTCGCCCCCGCGGGCGGGCGAGCCGGGCGCTCCCGACGCCGAGCCCGTGGGGGAGGAGTGCAGCTGGGCCGGCCTCTTCTCCTTCCAGGACTTGCGGGCCGTGCACCAGCAGCTGTGCTCGGTGAACTCGGAGCTGGAGCCCTACCTGCCTGCCTTCCCCGAAGAGCCCTCGGGCATGTGGACGGTTTTGTTCGGAGCCCCGGAACTATCTGAGCAGGAGATGGACGCTCTCTGTTACAAGCTGCAAGTTTACTTGGTCCACAGCCTGGATACCTGTGGCTGGAAGATCCTTTCGCAGGTGCTCTTCACCGAGACCGATGACCCCGAAGAGTATTACGAGAGCCTGAGTGAGCTGCGACAGAAGGGGTACGAGGAGGTGCTGCAGCGGGCCCGCAGGCGAATCCAAGAGGTGAGACTGGTCCAAATGTCTCCACTTTGGTGTCACCTTTAGTTTAATCTGTGACATCTTTTTTCAGTCGTTGTCTTCCTTGTTCTTGTTGTCCCGTTCCTTAGTGAGAAAATGAGGCTTAACCTTTCCAAGGTCTCTGGGGCCAGGATTTAAAAAGGTGCAGATTTCCTTACTCATCTGAGTGTGGCTCAGTACTTTATTCTGTGCAATTGTAGATGTTTCTGAACAAGTATATGATGGATTTGGCAAGATCCCATATTTTTGTTCTTGTATTGCCTTGGACGACGATGTGTTGGGGTCTGAATTTTTCTGTTAAATAGAAGCAGCAACATGTGGTGGTTGTTTTGGCAGTGCAATTTAGACATTTGAGGCCAAGAAATTCTAGGTTCCTCTAAACTCTGGGTGTTGAATCTGGTATTTATATAGTGAGATGACGTTTTCCAGTGAAATTGGAGTAAGTACAACTTTTGTTCAGCAGATAAGTTCCTGGAGTGAGGATTTTAAAAAAACAAGCTGTCTGACCCTAGCGGTTATTTACTGTGTTGCTGTTGGTAGTGTCTGTCAAGACTTGGATATTTCAGGACACGCCATGTCTTTCCCGTACCCTGTATTGTTTAGACAAAGTAGTTGAGAATTTCCTGCTAACTAACTTGTAGCATAAGCGTGTGGGGATTTTTCCACTTTCTCAGTCTTCGTGGACTGAGGTATATGAGGACCCAGATTTCCACATTATAAAAGGAGAATGTTACGCTTGTTCTTTTGTTTCAGTGGCCTTGGTCCAGAATGTAACAGGATCTGTCTAGATGTGACTGTGAGTATGGATCACGTTAGGCAATTCTTTATTTTTGCAAACAGCACATTAATTCTGTTGTATGGATATAAGTCAAGTTTGGCTGCTTCAGCTACCTGCATGTATCCTACCAACAGTGTGTTCAAAAATGTGTAGTGGCGATTGCTTTTTCCGCGATGCAGTGCAAGCATATCTCCTTGCTATCTGTTTTCGTGGCATAATTTTTTGTCTTTGTAGAATTCAGGCTGAGTTTTTCTTTGGTGACTGGAGTTAGAGTATGAGAAAATTGTCATGGTAAGAACATCCAACTTATAGCATTGTTAGCTAAAAGTTTATTTTTAAACTGTTGCGTTAGGGTATGTAATTCTGATTTTTCTTTTTCTTTTCATGTCTATTTAAAGGGCTGAATTAATTCTTGATATTGGGTATATAACTGGTTATTAGTCTGGGAATTTTCAGCAGTAGTTTTAGTCCACAGAATATGGAAGCATATTGTCTTCCACTGTTTTTTTTGACTCCATGAATACTTGGGACTGTACACTTAGATTAGAATTAGCCTTTAGCTCAGCAGTTCTTAAAAGAAGCTGTGCAGGACAAGGGAAATTCCCGTTAAACATTTGAAATTTGGGAACTGGGTACCTAACTTGAGACATGTGGTATTTTTGAGGAAATGCTGATTAGGAATTACTGAGCAAGAGCCATTTGTTTCTTGGAGAATCTTAATTTATATTTTGTTAGCAGCAGTACTATTGGCAAAAAATAAATTGGTTATCGATATACAGTGCAAGCTTTATCCATCAAGATCTATAAACTGCAACATCTTATTCTCTGTTAGTGTTCTGAACTTGGTGCAGACAAAATGGCAGAGCCTATGTATGCATTTGACTACAATCCTTTCCCATGGTAACCAGTCCAGTAGTGTACCTAAAGGCAATTCAGGTGCACTTCTGTCACTGTCAGTTGTGTAAGTTGATCCTTCTTTAATTAAAGGTAGTTCATGTTGAAGAAAAGAAACCAATGGAACGACCCACTCTTTCCCTTTTGGCTCTCAGGTTTCTCTTTTCCTTACCTGTTGAGGGTTTGCTTGGTCTACAGTAAATGTCTTTCTTTTAAGCAAATACCGATACTCTTTGTCACTGCAGTTCTAAACAAATGAAGCAGTGGATGATGGGTAGTGCTTGGTATTTCTGAAGTAAAGGGTTTTTTTTACTTTAAAACAAACCTGCTGAATCCATGGTTTATCTCCCTCTTTAATTTGCTTTTCCGTCTGTGCTTGAAATCTTCTGTTAGTTGATCGCAGGAATCTATGCAATTTTAAACAATTTTGTCTCTTACAGGAACTTTGGGGAAAAAAAGAAAGTGATTGAGCAGCATTGGTAACTGGGATGATATCTAGGAGCACAGGGAATGTGGAGGGTCTTCATTAATGTAAAACTGTGCAAAAGACAAGCTTTGAAATCCCAAGACCTTGACTTAGCGTCTTAAAATATACCTCTGTGGTTTATAGTTATGTCATGTATGTCTTTTTTTTCCCAGGCCAAATTTTTCTAAGCAGAGGATTACTTGAGAAATTCTTGCAGTTTCTGTTGATTGTATTTTTTGGGGTAGGGAGGCAAAGTGAGCAACAAAGCCTCATGTTCCTTGTTTGAGCATCCCCTACTTAGCCATTTGTTACTTTTCGTAAGTTACACACAAGCCACTTTATTTTCACAGTGGATAATAATTGTTGCTCTTTGTAATAGTAAATTTGATCTTGGTCTGAATTTTAAACTTAATAAGCCCAAAGAATGTTGCGAGTAGAAACAGATCCAAGATGAGTAAGTAAAATAGTTGTAGAGGAACTGTGTGACCTGGAATTTATTTCTTCCGCCTCACTTGCAGTTTTGAAATAGCACGTCTTCTATTTTTTTCAAATAAAACTATTAATTTTGGAATAGTTTAGGAACTTAATTTAATGTTAAAGTAAAAACCTGTTCATTAAGTTTATATCTGTCTTAAAAAAATTCCTCACGTGTTCAGCTAAAAAGATAAAAAGATGTTATTTCAATAGAGAGTATATCGCTGAATCCTTATTTGTAATTCCTGCTTCTTGGACAGTTTTTCCAAAATCTTAAACTTTGTGTCTAGAAGGCAGAAAACATTCGCCTCTGTACTCTTTCTCTCACCCGTTTCCTATGTTCCTCCTGTATACAGAGGAGTTTTTCTAGACCATATGTACATGTTTATAAATTTTTGTGACTTTAGTAATACCAAAGATGATGGTGTATCTCCTTGTCCATGCTGCGTTCTCAAAAGGTTGAATGTAGTCACAATTTTTCTGAATCAAAAGTGGTGTTAGTATCAACTGTGATTAAGAGGGTTTGGTGGCTTAGTCATACTGCAGACATACTTAATTGTGTGTTCTTGCATAGCGAGTTGAGGATTTGGGAAGCCTATCCGTATATTACATGTGTAATTCAGCATCTTTGAATTAATGGCACCTGGGAGTGTTCCTGTTCCTTATAGCTCTTAATTGCCCTGGCAGACTGAAATTTGATGGATGATACTCTACAGGATCTTGAGTGCCAGGTATAAAACTAGTCAGAGACTTGCTTTGGTTT